CGCGGCAATGTACACCCTTCCCTTAAGTTAATTTCAGTTCTTACAACCATTAACCTTACATTTTTGTGCGCCGGTTTTGGTTGCCCATTTGGATAAAACAGCAAAATAATGATTAGAATGTTGAGAGTAGATTCATGCGGAAGGTAACGCATTTGCATAGACTGAAGTTACGAGAATAATGAGTAGATGCATGAACGCCACTGTTTGCGTCATCCACCATATCGCTGTCTCCATCGGTGACCATAATCTCAGGGTCCCCAGCGAAGGAGCCTAACGGGACCTATGTGAGCCAGTCTCCTGGTCAGGGTTTTCATTCCCTTATGTCAGGTCTTAGCTTGACCACCTTTGATTTTTTTCCAACCGCTACCTATATCGGCAAACATCGCTCGCCGTGGCAACCTATCTGTTGACATGTGTAGCCCATGTCCCAACACAGCGTAATCTATGGAGGTCGACTACCTGTTCCAGTGAACGACCGCGATTACCTAAAACTCTACGCTTAACCTCACCATTGCTGATCCGGTTTCTCCACCAGACTCGTACAATGCGACGTAGACAGCGGTGTTCGAACACCGACGATCTATTTTTATCCTGTTCCCTTAGTGGCCAAGTCTCTGCACCGTAGAGCAGGATTGGTCGAACTGCTGCAGCATACACTCGACTCTTCACAGACAGCCGGATGTCGCGACGGCGCCACAGTTGCTGCAGCATACACTCGACCCTTCACAGACAGCCGGATGTCGCGACGGCGCCACAAATGCTCAAGTTAGGCAAATGCCGACCGAGCCTTTTGTATACGCGCCGACATTTCATTTGTGATGCGTCTGCCAGGTGAGATGTAGCTGCCCAGATAGAAAAACTTGTCTAATTTCTGTACAGCTTACCCGGTCAGGGCGAGGTTGGGGACTAGGTCAACCCAATCTTGGAGCAACATTCTACACTTTGAAGGTGCAAAACGCACACAGAACAGTAGCACTCAAAGTATCCAGAAAAGCTTGCAATTTACCGGAGTCTTCACTTAGTAGCACAATGTCGTCTGCATACTCTATATCAGACAGTCTGCCACCCGATGCCGTTTTCCTTGCACGAAGACAAGGCTGTTTCAAGAATTAAATCTGTCACGAAGGGAAACATAAACGGAGAAACAGCAACCCTGTCAAACTCGGGTGAAAATTTCCGTAAGCTCAGACTCGGTTTCGGCTATTATTTTAGAGTATTGTAATATTGAACTAAACTTCTCGGGCACAACCTCCGGGGGAATGTAGCGCCCTAGCTTAAAGCGGTAGACATAGTCGAAAGCCGCTTTCAAGTCGAAGGAGATGGAAATGGTGGGTCTATGAAAGGAGTGTCTGTGCTCTAAAATTTGACGAAGAGTGAAGATGTGGTCGATGCAACCTCGACCAGGTCTGGAACCAGCCTGGTGTGTGCACTCTTCATGAGCGGCAGACAATCGACGAAGTATGATGCCGGCGAGAAGTTTAGAGGCAATATTGATTAAACTAATTCCTCTGTGATTTTCACAAGAGGGCCTGTCGCCCATCTTGTAAATCGGCATGATTCACACCTTTAAGTTGGAACCTGTTCCCTTTCCCACACTGAGCCCAGGAGTTTCGGTAACTCCAAAACTAAGGCTGAACCTCCATCCTTGAAAGCCGATGGGGAGAGCCCGTCTGGGCCGGAGGCCTTATACCTTTGGAGATATTTCTCGGGTAACATCCATTTCAGATGGAGGGCTGATGTCAACTGGCAATATTTGCACAGTTGAACCGGGTGTAGGGAGGTCTTGTGCTGACGAGGGTCAACTGAACTGCGCCTTAAAATGTTTTGCCCCTCGATCTAGACGGCGTTGCTAAATACGAATCAGTATGCCATCGGATTCCTTAATTACCTCACGCCTGGTTTCCTTTGACCTGTACTCCTAATTAATCGGAAAAGTTTGCGACTATTACCCATAGCCGCATCCTTCTCCATCTCTACGCTTTCCTACCCACCACTTCTCGCGGTCGTTCTTCAGATTCTTGATGAACTGGCGTTTAAGGGATTTTCGCGCTTTGTCGTATTTTGAATCCGAAGGAATGGATTTGCGAGCGTCCAGCAGGGCAACCGAAGTCAGGGAGATCCATCGTTTTTCATTTGAATTTGTCGTTGTTTTGATTGACATTTGGATCGTTTCTTTGATTGCCGTCCAGTGCTCTTTGAGTTCTCCGGCTGCTGGTTAAGCTGAGCGGCGATCTGATAGTTCCGCTACGAAGGCCGATTTGTAACCATTGCTGACCTTGTATCTGTGGCATCCGTCTTCGGTGGCTTTTCTGCGGTTGTTTACTAGGCGTAGGGAAAACCTCACTCGTAGCAGAGCATGGTCCGTGTCCACGGGTGTTGACCAGTAGGAGCGGCAGTCTTCAATGGATCCTCGCCAGCGGTGTCTGATGGCGATGTGGTCGATGTGAGTCCGGCGCTGTGAAGAATTCGGCGGTCTCCATCTAAGGCGGTACCGTTTTTTATGCGACAAGTTCGTGCTTGGCGGGAGCAGTCCGTGGTTAGCAAAAAGTTGGAGTAGGCGCTCTCCGGTTGACTGGGATTGCATATGAACCACGAAGTAGCCTCTCTGATTCGTCCATGGATTCCATTTGAGCATTGAAGTTCCCAGCGACTACCACAATATCCGTTGACCGAGCACTTCGCATCAGTTAGGAGAGGTCCTTGTAGAATTCATCCTTCATTTCTGGCTAATTGCAATCGGTCGGTGCATACACGTATAAGACAAATAGGCACCGATGCTTTGTTCTGTAGCTGTTGACCAGTACTGAGCGCACAGTCGGCTAATAACCGGAATCCAGCCAAAAATTGAACACTCAGCTTTAACACGAAGCACCATCCCGACCCAAGCAACACCGCGAGCATCGGATGCCGAGTCGCCTGACACACGAAGGGTGAAGCGTGAGGATGAGGTTGGGTCTGGAGACCGCAAGATAGTGATTGAAGTATGGTTTTGTATGCATGTTTCGGAGACACAGCATACGCATAAATTGAAAGTTTCAAGGGTTCTAGTTAAGGCAGCTTGTTGACCAATCTGATAGTGTGCGGACGTGGAATGCGGCTAAATGAAAAGGAAATTTGGGTTTGAAAAAACTGTTAGCGTCTGGTTGGCTCACCTTACTAGTTGAACGCTGAACGATATCCCATGGGTGATACAAACAGGATGCATCTAGTGCCATTTGGGAATGGGAAAAACAAAGGGACAAATGAGAAGGATTGGGATCACATTTCGCGGTGGAACACCGACGAAGAATTTTTCTTTGGGAACCCTGACCGGAGCCTTCGACCCGAAAGTCTAATCCCCAAGGCAGTATATCGTGGATCCGACGCGAGCGCGTGACCGGAGGACTCCATGGGAGCTTCCGAAGGCCTGTCACGCAAGGTTTCTGCGTTTCGGTTCAGTGTGTTGTTCGCTGGTGCGTTGATTGTCGGTCCGCTGTTAGGGATTGGCCCTTAATCTCAATCAACCAATGAGACAAGCGGAACGTGAACAGGACAGCATGTTATTGGTTGGGACTGCCCAG